TAATGTAGATATGGACGGCCCGGTAGTGGGAAAACCTACACAATGACGGGAGAACGATCAGATACACTTTAATATGGTTGGGAAATAGATCCTGTCGCTGGCCTTGTTCCTCGAGCTCTTAGTCACATTTGTTATTATCTAGAATCAATTGTAAGTCTACTTTCATATATTTTCTGTCAGCCTAATAGTGACGATTCTGTTCGAGTATCCTTCTTGGAGTTGTAGAATGAGAACTCTTTGAGCTGCTAAGTAGTGACGATATTACTTCTAAGCTCTTTTTATTTGATGACACTTCACGTAAAGAGAAGGAGAAAACCAAACCAGTCCGAGCTGGAGGCTCTTCTGCTGCGTTACTAGTTCTCGGAGAAGGCCGTCGGCTACGACTCGTCCGTCTGGTTGTCGACTGGGTGGGGCTCTTTTGTCCTTGGAGCCGCCGACGTGCCCACCGTCGTCCTGGGGCCCGGGGACAATTTCTCCGAGCGAGGCTTCCCAGAGCGGTAAATTTGTCTGCATGGAGAGTCCGGAGCAGGTGGACGAGTAGAGCTCCAAGGCGGAGAGAATACCGAACGTCTGCCGGGCCTGGCCTGATTGTTGGATGGATGAATGGATGCAGCAATTACTGGAGTATTTGCATCCTTCCTACGCGCCTTAGGTGGCCTCGTACCAGTTGGCGATGAAGGGGGGGGAGGAGAAGGAGAACACCTAACCAGTCCGAGCTGGAGGCTGTTCTGCTGCGTCACTAGTTCTCGGAGAAGGCAGTCTGCTACGACTCGTCCGTCTGGTTGTCGACTGGGTGGGGCTCTTTTGTCCTTGGAGCCGCCGACGTGCCCACCGTCGTCCTAGAGCCCGGAGCCCATTTCTCTGGCCGAGGCTTGCCAGAGCGTCGGACTGGTCCGGAGCAGGTGGACGAGCCCAGGCTGCCAGACGAGGAGAGCTTCCAGGCGGAGAGGATACCGTCCGTCTGCCGGGCCTGGCCCGATTGTCTGATGGATGAATGGATGCAGCAGAAGCAGCAATTACTGGAGTATTTGCATCCTGCCTACGCGCCTTAGGTGGCCTCGTACCAGGTGGCGATGAAGGGAGAGGAGGAGAAGGAAAACACCTAACCAGTCCAAGCTGGAGGCTCTTCTGCTGCGTCAGTAGGACTCGGAGAAGGCCGTCTGGTTGTCGACTGGGTGGGGCTCTTTTGTCCTTGGAGCCGCCAACGTGCCCACCGTCGTCCTGGAGCCCGGGGACATTTTCTCCGGCCGAGCCTTCCAGAGCAGCGAACTTGTCTGCATGGAGAGTCCGGAGCAGGTGGACAAGCA